CACCCACACCGCGTCGACAGAAACGTCGTCCTGCCAGGGTCGGTGAAGCTGCTGTCCTGCTCAAGTAGTCTTCCCTTGAGTGCCAGGTACCGCCGGCTCTCGAGGAACATCCTCCACACTCTGTCTCCCTTGTGCATGAGCTGTCTCCGAGGGTGAGAGGGTGCGTCTCTCTTCTTAGACTCCTTGTACATGTTCTTCGCTCCTGCAGGCAAAAAAAAAAAAGAGAAATCTCTGAGAATCTCCATCACACATGTGCCATCCGGACAAACAACCGGGTGTATTGCAGTTCACCACACCGAGCATTAGTGCAACAGCAGTAGCGGTAGACCTCAGCAATACAAAATACAACTGCCAAGTACACCCCGAGACTACGGCAACAGCAACGCAACGCAGCAACATGCCTGAATTTCCTGTTGCACGGGAAACGTCGTCGGAGTGCCAAAAAGCCTTGGCGAGAGCCATTACCTCGGGATTCGTCACGTCACTCCGTGTCTTGCGCTCGTTATACACGTAGCACCCGTCACTCACAGCGTCCCTGGGGGCGATGTCGTGGTTCGTGTTGTGCATCCGCACACGTGCGTCGCTGAAAGTCTCGTACCGAATGCCGAGACTCTTGGCTCGCTCGGCAAAGCTCACTCCACCAGGCTCAGCGGGCTTGCACCGTTTGCCAGGGTGGCACAGGTTGGGGTCAGAACAGGTGTGCTCCCCCGCTCCCGCTGCTGTGGCGAGCGCTGTCGTGTACGCGGTCCACCCTATCGAGCTGTTGCTGTGCCGCTTCAGCGCTTGGAGCGAGGCACGGAGCGCGCGAGTGTTCGCCGCGTTGACCGCCGCCTCCTTAGCTGCTGCCTGGTCTGCAGCGCTCGCCCCCAGCATGGCCCGTACTCGCTCCATCAACACGTGGTCCTTCTGGATCAACTCCAGCGCGCTAGAGCGACGCTCCTCCGAAGCCTGCGTACATGTATCAGGAGTTGTTGGAGTCGGGGGAGGGTGTGTGTTATGTTCAGCAGGAGTATGGGTGGGCCAACAACAAATGCCACACGTAGAAGCCTGCAATTAGTACAACAGTGATCCCATGCAACTTTTCATGCGCTTTCTACGCTAACATCACGAAGTCGTGGAATGGAGATCAATCTCGGGAGCACGAGCAACAGAGGGCCGTGCGTACCAAAATTCAAATACTGTTTATATTTAGAGCGGCACGAATTGGCGCCAAAAAGTACAATATTGTATTATAGTCCAAGCATTTCAACAGCACTTCAGCAACCCCAAACCTCACCTGTTCCTCGCGCGAAGCCTCTGGGGTAGCCCCGCTTCTCGTCCCGACATCGTGAGCCAATGCTAGAGGGTCGGAGAGAGCTACGTCCGCCCCCTTGCGCTTCCCCTGCAGCAGCAGCAGCAGCAGCCTGTTGGTTGCCGCGCTTTGGTGCTCGTTCTTGGATGGCTTCAGCATGCTCTCTACCCTTTTCGCGGAGCTGATCTTCATCAGCAACTACAGAGGACAACTTACTGCCAGCTGCCTTCGTGGTACCCTTCTTTAACAGCCAGGAGGTTAGCAGTATCCCGCGGTTGTGCTTCTTCCGGTGCTGCCTTACTACCCTCTTTTCCCCGCGGACGTGGATTATGCGGTCTACAAGCATGAGACTGCAACGAGCCACGGCCAGGCCCGAGTCGGCACGGCCGTAGATGTTAGAGTTTAGGGCTGAGGACCTCGAGAGTGGTGTCCTCTGTATGTAATTCGACCAAGCGGAGTCGATTGCCGTGGAGAACAAGGCATCGTCGATGTTCATGGTGAAACAGGATGCGCCGCATCGCTTATCTTGAAAAATGTGTCGAAGAATACATTTTTTTTTCGTTTTTTGTTTCTTTCGGTTGGCCTCGCCGAAACGGTTCTAGAACCGGTCTCCCTTTTCCCTACCGACAGAGACTCCAACATCTACAGCATTCTCCCCCATTCGCCGGAAGGCCCCGTAGACGCTCGCACTGTCGCCGTCACACGCCAGACTCGAAGTAAGTCTCATAGGAATATATAGACTGCTTGAAAGAAGTGTTAGGAAACCCGTCGAATCAAAAGAAGTTGGTGCTGCTCTACGTACAATTGCAGCCTTGTGTTGGTGTACTGCTGTAGAAAAGTCAGTGCTGACCTTTGGTTGGCCATATTGTTTCCTAACCGCACTGCTGTGCATGATACCTATCATGGCGGCATGAGCTGTACAACCTAGCAGAAAACATGTGGCGAGCAATACGCGCTGCACATTGAAAGAGAGTCAAGGCTCAACCGACTTCAATCCTACACATGCAACTGGGATTTGTCGCCGATTGGATGATCCCAACCCGTGTCGATCGGGGGCGTTGCGTAGAGGGTGGTAACGTCCTATCAGCGATCGGGACGACGGTAAAAAAACGCCCACGACAACCTGACCTAAGAGTACAAAAACCGCGACGTTTCGGACGCCGAGATACTCCACAGCATCTGTCTGATTCGTATCCGTATGAGCCTTACACCGTTGACGAATACTTGTACACACCAGGGTCAGCCCAGCGGTATATTCCACTATTATTGTTAACTCCTGGGCCTCATGGGTTCGTGCTAAAATCGTCGGTCTATAGCCCGTAGAGCTACCCTCGCATTCGACTCTTTTTCTGTACCTGATGCCTTGCGCTGGAGGATATGGAGTTTAGAGGGTTCCAGCGAGGCTGGCTTTCGCGGTGACACTGTGGAGGCTGGCGGTACCGACGACTTTGATTCGCGACAGGATATTTTGCGGGATGTCGGAGTCGCTCATATGCGAGATCTTCAATCTAACAATCAATCTAGGCAATCTTCGAACGCCGGGGTCATCTTGTGAATGACTTGCAAATAGACGCCATCCTTCCCAAAATCGATTCGTTCTGCGAGGCCATTGCCGGCCGCGGATCACCTCTCACTAGGTGCTGGGGATTCCTAGATGGAATTATTCGTAAGATTTGCTCGTCCTTGGCGAAATCAGTGCATTTACTATAACGGATGGAAGCGTGTACACTCATTGAAGTATCAGGCGGTAGATTCCCCGGATGGCATCATCCGTCAACTTTGGATCCTATGCTCGGTAGGCGCCATAATGTGACGTTGCGGGGGGTAAGTGGGCTGTTGGAGGCGTTGATGCAGTCATTCAACGATGCGGCGGGTGTACCGTACTACATTTACGGAGACCCAGCATACCAGGTATCCCCATGGCTGATGGCACCATACAAAGGCTTGTTATCTGTTGCGGAGGTGGCATTCAACAGGGCGATGAGTAGAGTCAGGGCGACTGTCGAATGGGGCTTCGGCCGGGTCGTGGCGATGTGGCCTTTCGTAGACTACGTGAAGAAGCAGCAGGTGACCCTCAGCGCATGCGGTCTTGGAAAGCAGTACGCGGTGGCTGGTATTCTTTTTTGTTTGGGCAGAAAACGAATCGTGCCTTGGAGGAATTTTCTTGTGTCCATTGTTACGTCTTTATTTCTTAAATAAGTGCACCCCGTTTGGGGTAGTTGGCTTGTGGTCACGGGAGGTGTCCGCGTCAGTTGGACCAGNCACCATACAAAGGCTTGTTATCTGTTGCGGAGGTGGCATTCAACAGGGCGATGAGTAGAGTCAGGGCGACTGTCGAATGGGGCTTCGGCCGGGTCGTGGCGATGTGGCCTTTCGTAGACTACGTGAAGAAGCAGCAGGTGACCCTCAGCGCATGCGGTCTTGGAAAGCAGTACGCGGTGGCTGGTATTCTTTTTTGTTTGGGCAGAAAACGAATCGTGCCTTGGAGGAATTTTCTTGTGTCCATTGTTACGTCTTTATTTCTTAAATAAGTGCACCCCGTTTGGGGTAGTTGGCTTGTGGTCACGGGAGGTGTCCGCGTCAGTTGGACCAGTACGAACATTAGAAGGCACCAAGTGAAGCCTTTGCGTTTGGGCATGTGAAGACAACCTCAAGTACAAATATCATAATTGTATTTTCTAACTTTTCTTTTTTGTCGACATGAATAACTTGGCCGTGACGGGGTGCGTCACGAAAAGTCGTGCCCGAAATCGTTTTTCTCGCCGACGCACTTGGGTGAACACAATCCTATCGGAACGGCGCCTGCCAACGAGATAACCCCACATGCTGCGCACGTCAGAGGTCGGGTACAAAGCGAACAATTCGTAATGCACAAAGTCCTGGCAAAAGCGGACGAATTACCACCGTGCGGATTGCGAAGTATCTCAGTAAGTGCTTTTTAGTCAATGTTTTTTGGCAACGAACCTCCGGTTAGCCAGCGCAGCACTAGGCTCAGGTAGACCGGGCTTGATCACTTGGGCCGATCCGTTACGGGACGATTCGACGGCAATCATCAAGCCTGGTCCACCTGACTCTATTATTACACCTGCCCTACGGAGAAAGAGCTTGCTGAGGCACCAAATCGCCCCCACATATGCCACCTCTCGGACGAAATCGGAACCATGTATGCCGACGGAAATTGGCAACGGTTATCCATATGCTCAAAGTACGACGGCAGGTGCTACAAGAACAAGCGATCGAACGAAACAAAATACCGACAACCTACATACGTGTCCTTCCGCGAAGGAAAAATGCAAGACAACCGGGTTGTTAACCCAAAAGCACACGCGTACTTTGAAATAAACAAGACTACAATCAAAAACAGCAACGCAAAACAAACCATAGAGCAACACGCCCGAAAACATTCTCGGTGATGCACGCAGCTGCACGACCTGAACGAAGCAGGACAACCGAATTGTAGACAGATCGACATGTCCGAGTTCGAAAAACAAAACGCCGACAAAGCGACAGGGAACTGCACTCAGACCAACATCCTGCGGGCAACAAGTTATGACAAGGATGACAACAAGACAGGACAGGTCTACGAACTCTTTTGCAAACTAGAAAGAAATGTGCCAAGTCACAGCAAAAGTAGTTGCCCGATACATGGAGCCACTTACACCAGCACAACCACGGGATTGGTGCGTACCGTCCTCGAACTGACAAGGTCAAACTGGGTTTTGTAAACGACACCCATGCCCTAGTGGCAACCTCACTTGCCCATGGGCAATGCAATCAAATCAAAAGGACCAACAGTTCCAGGCAGTGGGCGCCTAGGCAATATTTGAGGCCAAACATGACCACAATCGAGCAGTGACGTCGACCTTGCAAAAAGGAACTGGTTTGGGAACGATACGACAAACTTCTGTAACGGCTCACGAAGACAATAATAACGACAAGCTGCAATCAANCTGTCTCTTATACACATCTAGATGTGTATAAGAGACAGCTACAAGAGACTTGGAGTGCCCTCGGAGAATGAAGCTTTTGACCAAGTGTTGAAGAGGGAGGTAGACGCATGGGCCCAAGAAGAAGAAGAGACATCGAAGCCAAACGTTGGGAACGTAGGACTAGAAAAGGAGTTCACTGAGGACGAGGTTGAGGCGTGTGTGAACAAGCT